GCTAGTGTGGTGGTGATGCTGGTGTGGTAGTGGTGGTGATGCTGGTGTGGTGGTGATGGTGTGGTGGTGTGTGGTAATGCTGGTGTGGTGATTGTGGTGATGCTGGTGTGGCTGTGGTGATGCTGGTGATGTGCTGCTGTGGTGATGCTGGTGTGGTGATGCTGGTGGTGGCGATGATGGTGGTGTGATGGTGATGTTGGTGTGGTGGTGGTCATGCTAGTGTGGTGGTGATGCTGGTGTGGTAGTGGTGGTGATGCTGGTGTGGTGGTGATGGTGTGGTGGTGGTGGTGGTAATGCTGGTGTGGTGATTGTGGTGATGCTGGTGTGGCTGTGATGCTGGTGATGCTGCTGCTGTGGTGATGCTGGTGTGGTGATGCTGGTGGTGGCGATGATGTGGTGTGTGATGGTGATGTTGGTGTGGTGGTGGTCATGCTAGTGTGGTGGTGATGCTGGTGTGGTAGTGGTGGTGATGCTGGTGTGGTGGTGGTGGTGGTAATGCTGGTGTGGTGGTTGTGGTGATGCTGGTGTGGTGGTTGTGGTGATGCTGGTGTGGCTGTGGTGATGCTGGTGTGGCTGTGGTGATGCTGGTGTGGTGGTGATGATGCTGGTGTGGTGATGGTGGTGATGCTGGTGTGGTGATGGTGGTGATGCTGGTGTGGTGGTAGTGGTGGTGGTGATGATGCTGGTGTGGTGGTAGTGGTGGTGGTGATGATGCTGGTGTGGTGGTAGTGGTGGTGATGATGCTGGTGTGGTTGTGGTGGTGGTGGTGGTCATGCTAGTGTGGTGGTGATGCTGGTGTGATGGTGGTAGTGATGGTGGTGGTGGTGGTGGTGATGCTGGTGTGGTTGCAGGTGTGGTAGTGGTGGTGATGCTGGTGTGGTAGTGGTGGTTGATGCTGGTGAGGTGGTGGTGGTAGTGGTGATGCTGGTGTGGTGGTTGTGGTGATGCTGGTGTGGTGGTTGTGGTGATGCTGGTGTGATGGTGGTGGTGATGCTGGAGCGGTGGTTGTGGTGATGCTGGTGTGGTGGTTGTGGTGATGCTGGTGTGGTGGCAGTGGTGGTGATGCTGGTGTGGTGGTGATGCTGGTGCGATGGTGGTAGTGATGCTGGTGAGGTGGTGGTGGTAGTGGTGATGCTGGTGTGGTGGTTGTGGTGATGCTGGTGTGGTGGCAGTGGTGGTGATGCTGGTGTGGTGGTGATGCTGGTGCGATGGTGGTAGTGATGCTGGTGAGGTGGTGGTGGTAGTGGTGATGCTGGTGTGGTGGTTGTGGTGATGCTGGTGTGGTGGTTGTGGTGATGCTGGTGTGATGGTGGTGGTGATGCTGGAGCGGTGGTTGTGGTGATGCTGTGTGGTGGTTGTGGTGATGCTGGTGTGGTGGTTGTGGTGAGGCTGGTGTGGTGGTGGTGGTGAGGCTGGTGTGTTGGTGGTGGTGAGGCTGGTGTGGTGGTTGTGGTGATGCTGGTGTGGTGGTTGTGGTGAGGCTGGTGTGGTGGTTGTGGTGATGGTGGTGGTGAGGCTGGTGTGATGGTTGTGGTGAGGCTGGTGTGGTGGTTGTAGTGAGGCTGGTGTGGTGGTTGTGGTGAGGCTGGTGTGGTGGTTGTAGTGAGGCTGGTGTAGTGGTTGTGGTGAGGCTGGTGTGGTGAGGCTGGTGTGATGGTTGTGGTGAGGCTGGTGTGATGGTTGTGGTGAGGCTGGTGTGATGGTTGTAGTGAGGCTGGTGTGATGGTTGTGGTGAGGCTGGTGTGATGGTTGTAGTGAGGCTGGTGTGATGGTTGTGGTGAGGCTGGTGTGATGGTTGTGGTGAGGCTGGTGTGATGGTTGTAGTGAGGCTGGTGTGGTGGTTGTGAACCATACCCCCGGCCGGGATTGAACCCGCGGTCATAGAGTCTCAAAACTCCAGCCCGTCGCGTTAGCCACTAGACCAGCTAGCCACAATAAGATTCATCCAGTAAAGTTGGTAGAATTACCGACAATATGCAAAGTAAAAGGACACAAGTGCAACTAATGTGACATTTATTGTGGCAACGTTTCGCTCTCCAGGAGCTTTATCAAGCCATTACCTTGGCTTGATAAAGCTCCTGGAGAGCGAAACGTTGCCACAATAAATGTCACATTAGTTGCACTTGTGTCCTTTTACTTTGCAAGATTCATCCAACTAGGTATATTTCTACACCATAGGAAAGTTAGCACAGGCACCTCTGTGACCACAAATGCAAGTTTTTACAGACGAATCTCCAGCTAGCGTGGCCGTGACGAACTCTAGCTCAAGTCCCTTCACTGCCGTCAACATGACTCAAGAAATCGTAATGACACGATTGCAAATAAACCATACCCCCGGCCGGGATTGAATCCGCGGTCATAGAATCTCAAAACTCCAGCCCGTTGTAGTGAGGCTGGTGTGGTGGTTGTGGTGAGGCTGGTGTGGTGGTTGTGGTGAGGCTGGTGTGATGGTGGTGGTGAGGCTGGTGTGGTGGTTGTGGTGAGGCTGGTGTGGTGGTTGTAGTGAGGGCTGGTGTGATGGTGGTGGTGAGGTGGTGTGGTGGTTGTGGTGAGGCTGGTGTGATGGTTGTGGTGAGGCTGGTGTGGTGGTTGTGGTGAGGCTGGTGTGATGGTTGTGGTGAGGCTGGTGTGGTGGTTGTGGTGAGGCTGGTGTGATGGTTGTGGTGAGGCTGGTGTGATGGTGGTGGTGAGGCTGGTGTGATAGTGGTGGTGAGGCTGGTGTGATGGTGGTGGTGAGGCTGGTGTGATGGTGGTGGTGAGGCTGGTGTGATGGTGGTGGTGAGACTGGTGTGGTGGTTGTGGTGAGGCTGGTGTGGTGGTTGATAGTGAGGCTGGTGTGGTGGTTGTGGTGAGGCTGGTGTGGTGGTTGTGGTGAGGCTGGTGTGGTGGTTGTGGTGAGGCTGGTGTGATGGTTGTAGTGAGGCTGGTGTGGTGTGGTGGTGAGGCTGGTGTGATGGTGGTTGTGAGGCTGGTGTGATGGTGGTGGTGAGGCTGGTGTGATGGTGGTGGTGAGGCTGGTGTGATGGTGGTGGTGAGGCTGGTGTGATGGTGGTGGTGAGGCTGGTGTGATAAGAACATAAGAACGAAGGAACACTGCAGAAGGCTTACTGGCCCATGCGAGGCAGATCCAAGTCTCCTACCGGCTTAAGCCAATGCACCCAACCTAGTCAGGTCAGGTCACATTGACTTAAGGGAGGAACACGGCAACCGACCTGGTAGCACAAGCTATCAGGTCTAACTCACACCCACCCACATCCACTCATGTATTTATCCAACCTATTTTTAAAGCTACACAACGTTCTGGCCTCTATAACGGTACTTGGGAGTTTGTTCCACTCATCCACAACTCTATTACCAAACCAGTACTTTTCTATATCCTTCCTGAATCTGAATTTTTCCAACTTAAAACCATTGCTGCGAGTCCTGTCTAGGCTAGTATTTTCAGCACACTATTTACATCCCCTTTATTTATTCCTGTCTTCCATTTATACACCTCAATCATATCCCCCTAATTCTACGTCTTTCTAGAGAGTGCAGATTCAGGGCCCTTAGTCTATCCTCATAGGGAAGGTTTCTGATACATGGGATCAACTTTGTCATCCTCCTTTGTACATTTTCCAGAGAATTTATATCCATTCTGTAATAAGGTGACCAAAACTGTGCAGCATAATCTAAATGAGGCCTAACCAAGGATGTATAGAGTTGAAGAACAACCTGAGGACTCCTATTATTTATGCTTCTTGATATGAAGCCAAGGATTCTATTAGCTTTATTGCGAACACTTATGCACTGTTGTCTTGGTTTCAGATTACTGCTAACCAGAACTCCTAAATCTTTTTCGCAATCCGTAATATTAAGATCTACATTATTTAGTTTATATGTGGCATGGTTATTGTCCTTTCCAACATTTAGAACTTTGCATTTGTCTATATTAAACTGCATCTGCCACTTCTCCGACCACTGCATCAGTCTATTCCAAATCTTCCTGGAGTGCTCGAATGTCCTCGTCAGAATGAATTCGACGGCCCTATTTTGGTGTCATCGGCAAACTTGCCGATGTCGCTCTTTATGCCCTCATCTATGTCGTTTATGTAGATTGTGAACAGCAGGGGGCCCAACACTGACCCCTGTGGAACACCGCTCGTGACACTTCCCCACTCTGATTTCTCCCCATTTATGCAAACTCTCTGCTGCCTATTTGTCAACCATGCCTCTATCCAGGAAAAAATTTCTCCTCCTATTCCATGTGCTTTAATTTTCCTCAATAGTCTCTGATGTGGGACCCTGTCAAAAGCCTTACTGAAGTCCATATACACAATATCATATTCACCTCGTATTCTACTACTGACTCCAGTTAAACACTTCATCTATGCTGGGGGACTGCTGTATAGCCCGTGTGGCTTAGCGCTTCTTTTTGATTATAATAATATGCTGGGGGACTGATTACCTTGTCTTCTACCGTCTCCAGTATCAACAACCACTTATTTTTGTGCTGAATAAGAAAAGTCCACGCTGGTTTAGCCCTTCTTGTAAAACTATATGTTATTCTTGCAACCACGAGCAAGTGGTCGTGGGAAGCTCTAACCACTGGTACCCCTCAAGGAAGGCTCCTTGATGTTGGTGAGGGGCTCTTGATTTAGGGAATTGGATCTGTGCTCCAGTTCCCCGAATTAAGCCTGAATGCCTTCCACATCCCCCCCCCAGGCGCTGTATAATCTTCCGGGTTTAGCGCTTCCCCCTTGATTATAATAATAATCTAACCACTGGGCCAACAATCCTACTGCAAGATTACTGTATAACCCTTGTGGCTTAGCGCTTCTTTCTAATTATAATAATACTGTAGGATTGTTGGCCCAGTGGTTAGAGCGTCGTGGAGAGAGAGGATTACCAAGGCCTTATTATTATTATTCTTGACATTATAATGTTTCAGCGGTTATCTATGAATCTCAGTTCCAGTTAAGAGAAAGGCAAAAAATGACGATTTTTTAAGCTTTTATTTTTAATAATTTTTTACATAATGTTTTTTATTTTGGCTTATAGATAAAAGTACAAACATTAATGTAACAGTCATGTATACAATATAAGTCAATACTTATGACTCATACAAAGAAACAACAACAAGAGATGGTTGTAACTGTGTTCATGTACATGTGATCCTCGGATCACCACTTGTGTTCATGTACATGTGAGCCTCGGATCACCACTTGTGTTCATATACATGTGAGCCTCGGATCACCACTTGTGTTCATGTACATGTGAGCCTCGGATCACCATTTGTGTTCAGGTACATATGGATATGAATGGATATAAATTCTCTGGAAAATGTACAAAGGAGGATGACAAAGTTGATCCCATGTATCAGAAACCTTCCCTATGAGGATAGACTAAGGGCCCTGAAACTGCACTCTCTAGAAAGACGTAGAATTAGGGGGGATATGATTGAGGTGTATAAATGGAAGACAGGAATAAATAAAGGGGATGTAAATAGTGTGCTGAAAATATCTAGCCTAGACAGGACTCGCAGCAATGGTTTTAAGTTGGAAAAATTCAGATTCAGGAAGGATATAGGAAAGTACTGGTTTGGTAATAGAGTTGTGGATGAGTGGAACAAACTCCCAAGTACCGTTATAGAGGCCAGAACGTTGTGTAGCTTTAAAAATAGGTTGGATAAATACATGAGTAGATGTGGGTGGGTGTGAGTTAGACCTGATAGCTTGTGCTACCAGGTCGGTTGCCGTGTTCCTCCCTTAAGTCAATGTGACCTGACCTGACTAGGTTGGGTGCATTGGCTTAAGCCGGTAGGAGACTTGGACCTGCCTCGCATGGGCCAGTAGGCCTTCTGCAGTGTTCCTTCGTTCTTATGTTCTTATGTTCTTACATGTGAGCCTCGGATCACCACTTGTGTTCAGGTACATGTGAGCCTCGGATCACTTATATACAAGAAGCTGCAATGCTGAGTATGTCTTGAAGACTATGAGTGTATGGATGAGATGTGCTTGACACTTGCGGGAAGGCAGTGCCAGTGGCATCCTGAGAACCTGGGGTTCTCCTACCATCCTGGAGGTAATGGGTGCCACTGGCTTCCTGCGAGCAGAGGGTGCCAGGGACCCTCTGAGGGTAGGTGCCCCCACTGGCGTCGTGGGGAGTGACACTGGCTGGTAATGTGTTAGAGGGCACTGCCTCTCCTCTCCTTTCACAGGTGCTTGAGTCTGGCAGCTCGGCCTCGGATGCTGGAGAGTCTGGCAGTGTTGTTGTTAAGAGGTCGTCTTCTGTGGATGGAAGGTCGTTGCCATGTGCTGAGTCGTCGTCATCGTCGTCGTCGTCGTCGTCACAATTCTCAATATCAAGGTGGTCATCCAGGGTGGAAGAGGCCGCCCTCGCTCGTCTGGTCGCATGAGTCTTCATGTGTTTGTTAAGGTGGTCAGATCGCATGAAACGTTTGCCGCATTCCACGCATTGGAAGCGTTTCTCACCGGTATGTGTTCGTAGGTGCCGCTGGAGTTCGTCAGAGCGGGTGAAGGCTTTGTTACAGAAGAGCCAGTGACACACGAACGGGCGCTCTCCTGCGTGCCAGCGCAGGTGCGCTTTCAGGTGAGATGTCTTGCCGTAAATCTTGGCGCAGCCTGGCACATGACACACATGCTGCTTCTTCTTGACAGCTTGGCCATCCTGTGAGGCTTCCTGGCAATTAGGACAGCGACACCTGCGGCACCTGCGGACAGTGGCCGCAGCCTGGGTCTTGAGGAGGGCGGCGGCGATCTGACTCTGATGGTGTAGAAGTGCCTCAGGCGTGACACTGTATGACACAGACTGGTGCAGGCCGGAAGGGAAGCCTGCACCCGCCTGTCCTGCCATCATGTTAGAATATTGAGGTGGTTGTTGTTGCTGGTAGTGGTAGTTGTGGGCGGCGAGGGTAGTAGTGTTGTTCATACTCCACCAAGAACAAGCTTCGTTCTCGCTGTGTCGCTGCTCAGGTGGAGGTGACATGGGTGGGGACACGCCTCCTACCATGGCCTGCTGTGAGTAGTGGTGTTGCAGGCCGCTTAACCTTCCTGCAGTGGCCGACGCTGGGAAGGGTAGGTCGTGAAGGCGGTAGAGAGGACTAATGGTCGTGGAGCCGCCCACACCCAAAGTGCCGCCCATCCCCATTCCTGACCATTGAGGCATTTGACACCCACTGCCGCTCAACATGGCTCCAGACTGCAAAGAGATACACAATACACGTGAACAGAGAAGCACTCCAGTAGGTCTACTGATACATACTAGGCAAGTCACAAACTAACTCATCAGTTTATAGAACCCATATTAACCCTTTCTAAATTTATATTTATAGAACGTTAATCCACTGAAGCTAGTTTAGTTTGGTTAGATTTTTTCAACACCTTATTTAAAACACCTTTTAAAACGTGTCAAATATTTCATATCGTTCACCGATTCACACAAACTAGATTTTGCATCCTGGGGGACACGATTAAGGACCCCAATGGAAATAAGTTAGACAGTCCTCGATGACGCACTGACTTTCTTGGGTTATCCTGGGTGGCTAACCCTCCGGGGTTAAAAATCCGAACGAAATCTTATCTTATCTTAAGATGAGTGATTAAAGTCCATATTGGAATGAGCGGATTCTAACTTTAATTATAGAATGTGTACAAGAAATCACTGAATAAAATTATCATAATTTCGGCCTAGGAAAGTAAGAGACTGACCTGGTGTAGCATGTTGTTGTGGTGAGGTGGGACCCCGGTCATACTGGTGACCTGGTGTAGCATGTTGTTGTGGTGAGGTGGGACCCCGGTCATACTGGTGACCTGGTGTAGCACGTGGTTGTTGTTGTTGTAAGCTGGAACTCCGGTCATACTGGTACACTTGTCAACTCTCACCACTTCACACTACCTGGTCACTTTGTCATCAACAGTTGTCCTCACAAGTGACCCTCACACTCTGGCTGGCCAGGTCATATATACTCAGCTCAACCAATCAGCAGCCTCGACCTATCTTCACTCCGCCCCTTATTATCCACTTACCAATCGCGGTCTTGCATTTTATTTTATTTGGTAATTACCCATGGGTGACAACAAGACAAATGTAATAACTTTGAGAGTTACCTCGAGTGAAAGTAATGAAGGAACGAAGATCCATCAGTTTTCTGCATATCGTCCTTCACTTCACTCACTCATGTCAGAACATGTATTATTTAGAGAAAGTTCAGCGTACAGTTGTTATAAAAGAAGTTAGTTTAATATCTTCATTATGCAGTCCATACTCCATCCTGTGGGTTTACCTGAAGTTTACCTGGAGAGGGTTTCGGGGGTCGACGCCCCCGCGGCTCGGTCTGGAAGGCAAAAAATTACATAATGCACATAGTGTACATAATGGGTCCAGGAACTGTACCAGAGTTTTGATAGCTGAATAAGGTACAGTGGTAATGAACTATTTACATGTTTATATTTGGTCACAATAGTAATGAGTTATTCAAGAAGACATAAATAAGGTCACACACACAGGGAGAGAGTGGACCTAGAAGCGATCAGTAAAGAGGCGGGGCCAGGAGCTATGAGTCGACCAATGCAACCACAATTAGGTGAGTACATACACACACACACACACACACACGTTTAAATAGTAATGTATTATTTACAGTGGTGGGTAAAATCGGGGTATTTTTCCAAAATGATTGGCAATATACCACTGTGGATCAAATGCCCTGACAAGATGACATGGTACACACACTTACAGGAAAGCCTCCGGTACTCTGTATCTATATCATGTATTACAATCACTTTCCATGCAACATTACTTACTTGATTGCAAACAAAAGTAAATCTTCGTATATTATTAAAAGCAATAGAAGCTGGTGATATATCCATGTGTGTGTGTGAGGTGGTAGTTTGGGTGTGACACCCCACAGTGCCACTGACCATTGTGGCACCCCACAGTGCCACTGTGACCATTGTGGCAGCCACTATACCACAGTTTCCTGCAACCTGACCTACCACCATTACTTCTCCCTACCACCACCGCCTTCAGGTGATGGTGTTAGGTCCTACTGACCCACGCTAGGCAGGTATTACTTATGTTCACATATTCTCACTCATTCACTTGTCTAATCTATTTGTAAAAGTGTCCCAAGAAGCTGTCACTACTGTCACTACTGGCTGTGATGATCATCATTACTGAGAGTAATGTAGTATTGACCTAGCAAGTGTAGTGTTGACCCAGCAGGTGTGGTGTTGACCTAAGGTGAGGTCACTGCCTCACCCAGCTCGTCATTAGCACCTACTTGTCAAAAGTTTAATAACTTAATCCTTGGGTCAGTGATCTTGTAATCCTTCAGCCCATTATACTGGAATGTATCGTATATACTCGCTATTATCACCTTCTTCTTCTTCTTCTTCTTCTTTTTCTTCTTCTTCTTCTTCTTCTTCTTCTCTTCTTCTTCTTCTTCTTCTTCTTCTTCTTCTTCTTCTTCTTCTTCTTCTTTTTTCTTTTTTTTCTTCTTCTTCTTCTTCTTCTTCTTCTTCTTCTTCTTCTTCTTCTTCTTCTTCTTCTTCTTCTTCTTCTTCTTCTTCTTCTTCTTCTTCTTCTTCTTCTTCTTCTCCTCCTCCTCCTCCTCCTCCTCCTCCTCTCCTCCTCCTCCTAAAGACGAGTGAATATAAAAATAATATACAATACCGACAGGGTGATAAATAAGACAAGTGCAACAGTTAGGTATCTATATTCCGAAACGTTCCGCCTACACAGCAGGCTTCTTCAGTCGAGTACAGAAGAAACGTTCCGCCTACACAGCAGGCTTCTTCAGTCGAGTACAGAAGAAACGTTCCGCCTACACAGCAGGCTTCTTCAGTCGAGTACAGAAGAAACGTTCCGCCTACACAGCAGGCTTCTTCAGTCGAGTACAGAAGAAACGTTCCGCCTACACAGCAGGCTTCTTCAGTCGAGTACAGAAGAAACGTTCCGCCTACACAGCAGGCTTCTTCAGTCGAGTACAGAAGAAACGTTCCGCCTACACAGCAGGCTTCTTCAGTCGAGTACAAGAAGAAACGTTCCGCCTACACAGCAGGCTTCTTCAGTCGAGTACAGAAGAAACGTTCCGCCTACACAGCAGGCTTCTTCAGTCGAGTACAGAAGAAACGTTCCGCCTACACAGCAGGCTTCTTCAGTCGAGTACAGAAGAAACGTTCCGCCTACACAGCAGGCTTCTTCAGTCGAGTACAGAAGAAACGTTCCGCCTACACAGCAGGCTTCTTCAGTCGAGTACAGAAGAAACGTTCCGCCTACACAGCAGGCTTCTTCAGTCGAGTACAAGAAGAAACGTTCCGACATAAATCAGTAGGCCTACTCTATCAGTCGAGTAAAAGAAGAAATACGTTCCGCCTACAGGGTACTACATTCGTATTTAAAAGGAAATTTTACACAGCAGCCCTTCATTCAGTCGAATACAGATTTCGAAACGTTCCGCACTTGACAACACATAGCTTTCTTCATCGGAGTTACAGAAAAACGTTGCTACATAAGGCTTTCTTAGTCGAGACAGAATAAAGCCGCCTACATTGCAAGTTTCTTCAGCGAGTAAGAAAAAAACGTAGGCCTACATGACAGCAGGCTTTCATTCAATTCGAGTAGAAAACGTTCGCTACACAGCAGGCTCCTTCAGTCCAGTACAAAGAAACGTTCCGCCTACACAGCAGCTTCCTCAGTCCGAGATCAGAAGATAAGCAGTAATCATGGAGAACTGAAGACCATATAACATAGCCCTACCTTGAATCAACTAAAATTTCACATTATTGGTAACTTCATGTCATTGATGTAATTATTATCTAGATATGACCTACATCGTTAGGTAAAAGTTGGCTAAACTTTTTCGAAGTCATCCCTTATCGAGGTCAAATCTAGTATATTCTGTATCCTGTTATAAAGTATTTGGTACAAACAATAACCTATCCTAGGATAAACATTCCTAGATCCTTCCCAAAAATATCTAGGAAAAATTTACATTAGCAATAGGTACCCACTATGTAATATATTTAAAACGTAATATAGAATGAACCCAGTAGGCCTAGGATAACAGTTATCCTAGTTATTATTATATTAGGATTCATGGGCAAGGATAAATTTTGTGAGTAGTATTGGGATAAATATCCTAGAAAAGTATCTAGGAAAACTTTCATGGATAACCAGTATCTAGGATAACTCATATCCTAGATAACCCAGTATCCTAAGGATAACCTCAGTATCCTAAGATAACCCCAGTATCCTAGGATAACCTCAGTATCCTAGGATAACCCAGTATCCTGGATACTAGGATATCCTATGATAACACAGTATCCTAGGATAACACAGTATCCTGTATCCTATGATAACACAGTATCCTAGGATAACCCAGTATCCTAGGATAACCCAGTATCTGAAGATAACTCAGTATCCTAGGATAACCCAGTATCCTAGGATAACACAGTATCCTAGTATAACCCAGTATCCTAGGATAACCCAGTATCCTAGGATAACACAGTATCGTAGGATAACCCAGTATCCTAGGATAACACAATATCCTAGGATAACCCAGTATCCTAGGATAACCCAGTATCCTAGGATAACACAGAATCCTAGGATAACCCAGTATCGTAAGATAACTCAGTATCCTAGGATAACCCAGTATCCTAGGATAACCCAGTATCCTAGGATAACTCAATATCCTAGGATAACTCAGTATCCTAGGATAACCCAGTATCCTATGATAACTCAGTATCCTAGGATAACCCAGTATCCTAGGATAACCCAGTATCCTAGGATAACTCAGTATCCTAGGATAACCCAGTATCCTAGGATTACTCATTATCCTAAGATAACCCAGTATCCTAAGATAACTCAGTATCCTAGGATAACCCAGTATCCTAGGATAACTCAGTATCCTAGGATAACCCATATCCTAGGTAAAGTAAGCCAGTATCCTATGATAACTCAGTATCCTAGGATAACCAGTATACCTAGGATAACCCAGTATCCTAGGATAACTCATATCCTAGGATAACCCAGTATCCTGGGATAACCCAGTATTCTAGGATAACTCAGTATCCAAAGGATAACCCAGTATCCTAGGATAACTCAGTATCCTAGGATAACTCAGTATCCTAGGATAACCCAGTATCCTAGGATAACTCAGTATCCTAGGATAACTCAGTATCCTAGGATAACCCAGTATCCTAGGATAACTCAGTATCCTAGGATAACCAGTATCCTAGGATAACCCAGTATCCTAGGATAACCCAGTATCCGTAAGATAACCTCAGTATCCTAGGATAACTCATTTTGACCAGTACCTAGGATAACCCAGTATCCTAGGATAACTCAGTATCCTAGGATAACTCAGTATCCTAGGATAACTCAGTATCCTAGGATAACTCAGTATCCTAGGATAACCCAATATCCTAGGATAACCCAGTATCCTAGGATAACTCAGTATCCTAGGATAACACAGTATCCTAGGATAACCCAGTATCGTAAGATAACTCAGTATCCTAGGATAACCCAGTATCCTAGGATAACCCAGTATCCTAGGATAACCCAGTATCCTAGGATAACTCAGTATACTAAGATAACCCAGTATCCTAGGATAACCCAGTATCCTAGGATAACTCAGTATACTAAGATAACCCAGTATCCTAGGATAACTCAGTATACTAAGATAACTCAGTATACTAAGATAACCCAGTATCCTAGGATAACCCAGTATCCTAGGATAACTCAGTATACTAAGATAACTCAGTACTTTCAGAATTAATAATATTTGCACCTGGTCCCACTCACGTAGTGCTGACCTCTACCCTGAAGATACCTGAGATACCCAGATACCCAGAAAGTTTTGACTCAGAAAATCGTAATAACACGACCCCAGTGAAAATTAAGAAGGAGCACTGCAGCAGGCCTACTGGCCCATGCTAGACAGGTCTAACTTACAAGACCCCAACGAAAATTATGAGGACCACAATGGAAATAAGTCACTTTGTCCGACTTTTTTTTTTGGGGGGG